GTTTTCAAGATGACTTGGATAATAGTGCGTTGTGACAAACACCAGATACAGCACTGGGACTTGATCAACAGCCGATACCGCACCGTGACGTCACAAACCAGTAGGTGGCAGTAGTGTTCTTTGACAAACATGGAAAAGCACATTCAGATGAAAATTACTCTTTATTAAAAACACTGATCATTTATTCAACAGTATGTAATAATTTCATATTTAACGTACTTTCAGAAGTTTGAATTCTAAATATGACCGGACTTTTCTTTTAAAACCACTGCATTATATAAGCATTAGATTAATTTCATGCAGCCATTGTTTTCGGCAGCATTTCTGTTTCAAATAGAAAAGGTTTGATTTGGAAAAGAAACTGATGACTACATTTGTCATCTACAGCTGACGACTATTTTATATATCTGTTACTGTTAGCATGACATTATTATTATTATTTAGCATGGATGTTAATGAAACAAACAAATAAATTACATGCATTTTTTAAAATCAGCTTCATATTTTTCCCGAATGTTTTTTTTAATGCTTTTTTAATTCATTGTCAATGTTTGGTTGACAGTGCTAATGTGACATTTAACCCACATTTGAATTGTGAAATATGCATCACACATGTAATGAACAATGATGCATTGTCACATGAAGACCAATCCCTGGATGACCAGCAAACCTTAGCTAAGAAAGAAGTCTTCTAATGTCTATTTTGAAGTATGAAATATAATGCTGTGTTGTAAGCAGCCGCACAAGCAGGTCGAGACAAAATCTTCTTTGCTGAGGTTGTGGGTTAGAGTCCACAACTAGCTGATCAAGTACTCACCAGCTTTTACTTTTTTTTTAACATTTTATAAAATTGCCACAAACTTGAATGTATTTTCTTCACTTAATGTGACAGATAAATGAAAAGTAAATGTGTTATGTGTGGCAGAAAACTATGGAGCTAAGTAGGGGTCATTATTCTGTTAAAAACAACTTATTTTGAAAATAAATAAAATAAAAACATGAGAAAGGATTTAAAAGTAAAAAGATTTAAAACAAAGAGAGTAGATTGAAATTGAAAATAATTCAACTTAAAAAAAAATAAGGATTAAACTCTCTCGCCCTCTCTTGGCATAGCCATGTATGACGCACTGCAGACTCTGAAAGTGTTATTTTATTTTTTTTGGCAAAATGTTTGTTTTGTTTGCGTTTATCTGACTGTGTTTATAATTACTTCCCAATAAATGAAAAAGGGTTAATTTATTACTATCTCAGACATCCGAAGTTCCAAAAACTCATTTCAGGGAGAAATTACTTTCACAGGATGCAAAGCTTTGAGTGGTAACTAGGTGACTGTCAGCGATTAAACCAACAATTATTGGCTTTTTATTCTGACTAAACCAATCAGCGCTTTTTTACAACCAGTTGCCTGGAACACTTGTTGAACAGAGCATCACTTTGCACAGGTTTCACAAGCAACCTCCTCCCCACACCTGCTCTCTCTTGTTGTCCCTGCACAATTGAAGTAGTTCTAATCCACATATGATGCATGAATTATTGTATTGCATGCACGCTCTCAATCATATTAAAAAACACCACCTCGCCTAGTCTAAAATCAGGGATAACTTCCGGCCAACTTATGCAGCTCTTTTAGTCTGGGTCCCATGTTCTCAATTCAAAGCAGAAGAACCACCAGGCTGCAACAGCAGCAACTCAAACAGAACCATAATCTAAAAAATGAAAACTTCTGATCTGAAAATACATTTAAACATTTCTTTTCAGACTTTTTTTTGTAATTTCATAAACACTTAAATTTCAAGGCTTTTTTTCCCTCCAGTTTTCAAATGGTTAGTTTATGTGAAATAACCTTTTTTCTGTCAGTCTTTTTTTTTTTTCCCTGTTTCAATGTTATTTTTTCACTTTCAAAAAATGTTTTTGATCAAACTACTTGGCCCCTATTTGGCTCCGTAGAACAAACCATACATGTCCCAGAACACATCATTTTCCAGGACGTAACATGCTGGTGGCTGAATGATGATGATGTGCTAAAGCTTTTCATCAGTCATAGGGATGTAAATCACCAACCTACAGAGGCGTGCACACATAGACACTAGGTGGTGCTAAAGCACTAGGAAGTTTGCCCTCTATCAAAGAAAATGCCCTTTTGAAACTCGTTTTTTTTTTTTATTATTATTATTAATATTATTAAGATTTTACTGAGGTCGGTTTTGAAATGATCTTTTGAAAACCTGAGCCATTAAAAACGACTGAAACAATGCCCCAAAATGACCGACCTACTTGCGCACACCCGACTAGCCTCTCTCTCTCTCTTCCTTTGTCACGTGAACTCGCTCGGTCGCCCGCAGGGCATGCCAGATGCGCAGCATCATAGCAGTTTTCAGATAGCAGGAACGGTCGCTGACAGGCTGCTTCTCCCGTGCCCCATTAGCCAGGTAATATACAGATCAAGCAGAATCATTTTGTTGTGCATTAAAATGTCTCATTCAGCAGCACCAAACACGCATTTTGCCGACTGGTCACCAGATAAACTAGTTTTCTCCTTGTAAGATGCTATTTTACTTTTTATATTTTGTATCCATATTTTTTATCTTAAGTGTATACATTAGTCTATTTTTTTGCATGACGTATACCCACAGTTTTTAGATATTTTTATAATTTTATTTACCTATTCCATATTATATGTTTCATGTTGCACGATTGTACCACAAAAAATTCCTAGTTTGTGAACTCCTTCACTAACAATGGCAATAAACCTGATTCTGAAAGTTTTACACTGTAGCCCAAGTCAATGACAGATAACGTGAGGACGACCACATAGGCTACAAATAATTTTGGTAGAGTTTGCAATTGCAAATGCGGAAGAGGATTAGGGCCACTGAAAAAAAAATAATAAGTTAACTGATTTTTTAATTTTATTTCAGTTTAGTATGGGAAAAAAGTCAGAATGCTGACTTTAATCTCATAATTCTAACTTTTTTCTCATAATTCTGACTTTTTGCTGAGAATTCTGACTTTTTGCTCAGTATTCTGACTTTAATCTCAGAATTCTGACAATAAAAAAGTCAGAATTCTGACTTTTTTCCCATGTTAAACTGAAATAAAATTTAAAAAATCAGTAAACTTTTTTTTTTCAGTGGCCCTAATCCTCTTCTGCACAAATCTATGTGTTAAGACAAACGTTTTCTGATGTATAGGTTTTGTTAGGCAACATAAATTAACACATTTTGGTCTCTTTATTGTCTTAATTGTATATTGATTTAGTAATTGCAGCACAATGCCAAGAAAGGAGGGTTAATCATATTGAAAAATCTTAAAAGCTGTTCACATTTTATTTTTAAGTGGTTTGTGCAGCAGGTATTAAAATAGCTATTATTTTGTAGGCTACCATAAGTCATATCCACGTGACAAGACTTCCAGTCATGTTGTCCTAATAGCCCATTATTTAAACTAATGTGGCATATTTGTTAAAGCTATTATTATTATTATTATCATTATTATTATTATTATTGTCATGATGGTTATTATTAATATATTGTAGCCAGTCACAGCAGGGAAGCTCTATACCATCAACATCTACCAGGACAGGAGATGAGGAAGAGTTCAGGGAAGACACAGAGACAGAAAAAGACCAGGATGAGGAAGAACAGATGGGTGAGGGAAAACAGGGAGATGAGCCAGATGAAAGAAGTATGCTTTAGTCTGTTCTGTTGGTGATGTGACTTTTTTCCATTGAAAACTCACGTTTAGAGAATGTTACAAATAAAAGTCAAATTTCATTCAACATGCGTTTATTTTTTTTTTATAATTAAGTGTTACACGTGCGCTAAAAAGAGCCCCCCCCCCCCCTGAGCACCTGCCCCCCAAAATGTCTGTGCACGCCTCTGCCAACCTATCATGATACAACATTATATTGATTTGCTTGAGGAGCAAAAAAGATGCTTTGAAATATCACAAAGTCTGTCACAATACAATATTGGTAAGTCTGAATTTGATTAGAGGGGATATCAAAAGCAGATTTAACCCCTAACAACATCCCGTAAGTTGACGTCAATTCGGGGCTTCTTTTGGATTCGCCCGTTTTATGATGGAATTTTACAATTGTGAGATTTGCAGAGAAAGGAGGTGTTGATGGGGTTTGAACTTCTCTCTACGTTCATTTCACCCACTGAACTATTGTTATTCATCTATGACAATGGAAACTTGGTTTTGCATTTGCATGACCCCTACAGATTGTAAAAATTACAGGGACTAAATGACAGAAATTCAATTATTATCCATATGTATTTTATTTCTTATCATCAGCAAACTGAAAGTCTACCTTCGAAATTGCTATTTATAAACACATAGGAACGGGTCTCACATACGTAAACCGAAGCAGACGTATTTTTGCTTTGCTAGTTCAGAGCTGACAAACTACTCAATAATGAGATAAAATGTGACAGCGGCAAGTATATAAAATCTATATCCTATGCAGACCACTGAAATACTTTTTATAAAATTGTCTATGTAAATGAACCTTGTCATCACTTCACAAAAGGGTGTGAAAGACATTTTGCTAAATGTCAGCTTCTATGGACATAGGTCTCCATATTGTTGGAGGGAGAGAAGCAGTGGGAGTGGTTCATGACGCTGCAGTCCACAGTCTGACCATTAAATGACACTGAAAATTACACACTGTACCTTTAAATGTGGCAGTCAAAGTACCGACTTGCATTCTTCTGTGGCAAGGCTTAAAACACAGATTCTGAAAAAACAGTCTGAACATTGTTTAGAAGAAGAAGGGACTAACTTTTTTGTCTCTAGGGGCCTGATCTTTAGAGATTCCATATAAGATATCTTAAATTGTGTGGGCCATTTTTTTTAGTACGTGCATTAAGTGGTGTATGGTGGTGATCTACAAAGCTTGCTTTTCAAATATTAAAACGTGCAAACTAATATGGTTCCTCCCAATAAAATGAGCAGATTGTGGTTTTTCAGACAGTATGAGTCTGGCAGTAAAAGAAAGATGAGGTCCTAAGCCATGTAGTTGGAGATAATGATAGAAATAGTTTCAAAACTAATCATGATAATACCACATAATATTTCTAGAGCACTTTACATAGGTAACCTATCTTTACAGTAAGTGCTATGAACAAAAGTCAAACATAAAATAATAAAAATAACCAAAGCTAGATATAAAAAGATAAACAATTTTAATATAGGAAAACAGTTATCTTTGCCTGTTGATTGCCTCCAAGGTTTGCATATCCTAAAACAGGTGCAAAAATATAAAACTCCGTGCTTCGTGTTAAATCACTGTTACTATATTTGCTTTCCTATATCACGATACCCCCCGGGAGTGAGTGGAAAAGGACGACACAAAGGAGGTAGATTCAAAACCTTCTTTACACTACTGATACTGAGAGCAATCGTACAGTTAAACACCTGAATATACACTACCAAAGAAATATAGGTTAGAACTTTTCCCCTGAGTGAAAGTGGAGCCCCCTAGTGGTCTGCCACATGACCCCCCCCCCTCCAGAACACTCAGTAGGGTTAAAAAAAAGAACAAAAAAAAGAAACCAGATCCTTGGTTTTTAACAAATGTCCGAAGCGGCTGAACTTGGGCTCTGTAGAATGATCCTGGAACATCTGTGCCAGAGGTCGATGATGACAAGGAGGGACTGCAGAGGGATTGAGCCCCGATGAATGAGGATCCCTGGAGGGACGACAGCGGTCCATTAAAACAGTGGAGGGAGGTTTTCCTCTACAAGTAGCATGGGCTGTTACCACCTGATCGTCCACCAGGACATGAGCGGGTTTGAGCGTGTCAATAGAGATACTTTCTCTACGCCCCCTAGTGGTCCCCCATACCACAATTATTAATTTATGTAATTAGTTATCGTTTTCTTGCATTAATTTTGTGCCGGTGTTACATTATGCTCTGAGATCTTTCCAGCTGTTGTGGATTCTACTCAGCAGTCTTCTATCTACTAACCCTTATATCCCAGGATTTATAACTTAACCAATGTCACAAGAATAATACCTGAAACCCACAGAAGTCTCTGAAATGCTCTAGGTCACAGTCTATGATAGGTCACAGAACTTGTTGTTACACCAGTCTGCATGGATGTTTCCCTTCATTATTTTCATTCCACTGTTATTATTTTATTGGTCTAAATCTGTCTACATGTGCACTGACTCCCTCTCCTCATCTAGTCACCAATGCCTCTTTTATGGCAACAGTAACTGCAGATATTTTTGCATGTCAGTTTGCACCTGACTTTAAAAAGTACTAAAAAAGACATAAAAACTACAACAGTTGAGTTTTAGATTTGCAAAATTGCTTTACACGTGGTGAAAGTTAACATTTTCAAATCTTCCACCCATGGATAACTGGCTCATTGAAACATGATATGCTGAAAATAAACAATTAAAAAAAGAAGGTTTACACATGCAGTCTGCTGAATTGCTAACAGAGATTACTCTGCTCCGCTTTGCTCCTTTTAAAACATGTTTGGATATAAGATGCTTCTAAATATCAGGCTCTAAATGGACAGGTATTCCTTGAAACTGCAGGTGTACAGTAGTCAAATATGGCTCAACAAAGGAGCTTAATAGAAGCGCATACCACAGCTGTCAGAAATGTATTTGTGAAAAACTTTAAAAAAACTTTGCATTTCACAGCTACACTGCAAAAATGTAAAAGTACATTTTTTTTTCTTGAATTGAGGAGGTAAGTGAGACACTTTACCTATGAAACGAGACAATTTACATTTAAAATAAGACAAAACATCTTGTATTGTCTTATTTGAAGTGCATATTATATAACTATCTCATTCTAAGAGTAAAAATACGCATTATCACTCTCTTATTTTCTGCTCAAATTAAGAGTATTTCAATTCTCCAATTTTCCAGTGTATGGCCTGTAATGTTACCAATTGTTATTAAAAAAAAAACAAAAAACAATGTTTACATCATCATCTATCCCTGTTATGCATTACTTATCTTCCTGGTATCAGATTTGAATTCTAAATATCTCCAAGAAAAAACAAGTGTTCTTTGAATGTAGCAGCAATATCTCATCGTCACTGATTTATTTACTCTAGCGTTTCCTCGGCTTCCTCTGTTCTCTTTGTTAACGAGTTGCAATGCCTATAGAGAAAAAAAAAGGTCAATTTACCGGCAAGTTAAAAATATCCGTCAATCGATTATTACCTTCAATAAATCACACAAGAAATGACACAAATGAGTTCTTGGAAAGCACCGTCAGCCTGCTGTGCTCTGCAAACATTTGTCATGATTATATCTCACACAGCCTCAGAATAACTGCTACAGCTAGTAATCACTCATTAACTAAACTGCATTTGTTAAAAACTTGTGGAAAAATACATGTTTCAGGACCAAATCACTTTGGCCAGGAGTCCTCATATGAAACAATCATGTTCACACACACTTCATGATGAGCCTTGACATTTATGTTAATATTAAATGGTTATAATGTGTATTGAGAAAAAATATCTTTAAAAATGTTTGTAAAATGAGAACTCCAACTTTAGGTCCCACCTACTTTATCGATGTAGTTTTCAGAGTGGGGGCCACTAGGTGCCTCAGAAAATTGTAGAAAATATTACTTTAAAAAAGTAGCTAGAAGTAGCTAGGTATAAAAAAAAGATAGTATATTGCATTTAACATGAGAAAAATGGGATTAAGAGCTAAATATAGAGACTCTTCCCCAGTGTCACCATCTAAGAAAAAAAAACAACCTTTCTGACAGGTTATATAAAAGCTTTTTCCTTGTGTGCATAAATTATTCTAGCCTTAAAGGAATTCAAAACAAAACACAGAGCATGTCTACAAGGGGTAAATGACATCTGCACGGCGCTGACAGACATTTAACACAGCCCGCCGTTTACACACACACTTGAAAGAGGTTCGATATATTCCTTTGTCCTGTTCAGGGTCACAATTTGGCAAAACCAGGCCGTTTGCTGGGGGACTCTGAGTTTCTGAGGGGTCCATAAAACTCCTCATACGACATGTTTAATGCAATTATTACTTGTTTGCATGTGTTGTTGATTAAAATACTTTTGTTAAAATGCCATCAGAATGCTTATTGTTATTGTTATGCTCAAAGGATCCAAGAGGAAAACAAATAGCTGGTCTCGAAATTACTGACAGTAACTTGCTTCCTTACTGCGGCAGCAGCTAGAAACAGCAGCCCACATCTGGCATCAAATGCAGCGATAACGTCAGTTCAATTCAGTTTATTTATATGTTTTGTTATTTACAAGGCATGTCATCTCAAGGCACTTTACAATTCACAGATCATACAGTCATATTAATAAAAATGTTCTATCTAAGTAAAAGCAGTTGATTGCATCGACTCATTGACTCAAAGGCAATCCCTCACATTAAGCATGCTTGTAGCGACAGTGGAGAGGAAAAACTCTCTTTGAACAGGAAGAAACCTCCGGCAGAACCAGGCACAGTGTGAGCGGCCATCTGCTGAGGCCGACTGGGGTTCAAGGAGACAGAAGCAGAGACACAAAAGGCAGCTGTAAAAGGCGGCTCCGTCCAGGAAACACACAGCCAGGCAGACGAGCTAAGAGCCAGCTCCCATGTCCCAATACACTGGAAAACAGGTTGATCTCTAATATCTATAAACAAAGGTGTTGATGGCAGCAGCACAGCTGATATTTCTCTCCAGGATGATGTCACAGCCAAACAGGAACAGACCAGATGAAGCTACTATGAGAAACAGCAGAGAGAGCAGAATATTAGACTTTCAGTTTGCTGATGATAAGAAATATTAGAATATTGAACCAACAGATTCTGCAGAGTGGGAGAATAGAGATAAAATGAAGCAGAATGACGAAAAAGATGGGAAAAATTATGGGTCATTTTAAATAAGAACTACTCCCCCACCCGTGAACATCTATGGATGCGCCCAGAACTGTTGATAAACTTCCATCTCATCAAGGACAATGGCCTGTGGACAGCGTTCATGGACATATTAAACGCACTCATCATACACACACAACGAATGTCTCAAATGTCAGATTGATGTCATGTGACTTCGGCTCCGATGTGTTTTTTTCCCTCTACTTCCCCAATGTGGTTCCTGAGATTGAGGCAGCTCTATAGGGAACCGCCTACGAGCTGGGGCCCTCGGCACCCCCCCATCCCAATGTATGTCATGTAATTTGATGAACGGTTTGTAACGGTTTGAAAAAAAGTTGATTGAAATGATTAGCGAATTTTGTTTGTTGTTTTGTTTGCTACAGACAGAAAAATTTGAGAAGTTATTTGGTTTTATTTTTTTTTTTTTAGGTTAGGAGACTTGAGTTGAACTTTTAAGAAAACTCCAGGCTCTTTCTTAACAGTTCGAAAAATACGATTTAAAGGATATAAAGAAGCAAAAAGAAAGATGGACAAAGAGAAACACATGGAGAGGAATATAAACTGAAAAAGAAACATGGAGAAATATGAAGAGGAAGAGGAATAAAGAAATAAAAGGACGAATGGGGAAAAATATAAACACTGAAAAAAGGGAGAAGTAGGGAGAGAGAAAATACAAAAAAAATGGACAGACAGAGGGGGATAAACGGTAAAACAAATAATGCATGTGCATTCTGTTAAAATATCTGTTTGATTGACCAACTGCAGTGCAAGAGCAGTGATCCAAGTCAACTACTATGTAGTCTTCCCTTGGCTCTCTAATGTGCAGATATTTTCATATCTAAGGAAAAGATATTCCAGGAAATTACTTTTTTCTTTATTTTTTTCTTTATGCTCTTTTGTACTATACACACTGTTTTCATATTGTTGTATTTTTATTATTAATGGCATTTTGCGTTAACTCTTTGTACTCTATATAAGCCAGTGGAACCAAAATTTCCCTGAAGTTGAGTCTACAGTGTTAAACAAAACAAAAAATGTCAGTAGATATTTTAAAATTATTCACTACTAATAGAAATTTGACAAAATAAAAAAAAAATCTAAAAGTTGATTTGTCTTTAAACATGTTGCATTGAAAAGTTTGCTTCATTAGACCGACAGTGACACCAGTTAACTAAAGTTACCTCGGTATCAGGGATGATGAGCTGAGGTAGCAGCTACAGTATATCATCATCCTGTGGTGATTATATGCTGACAATGTGACCACATCTGCATGAAATCCCTCCCTGTTTGTAAGCTGTTATTAAATGTAGATGTCATTGACCAAAATGAGCTCTGTGCGCCACACGTCAGCAGAAGGGAGTATTAGGCTGTGCTGAAGGCACCCTGACACAAACCACGGTTCACATGTCACAATTATTTTATTTATAAAATGTCATTTCTATGCAAGAGGAGGAGGAGAGGAGTCATAGAAACTTTATTTAGGTGCACATATAAACTCTGTTAATAGAAGAACTAGATGACCTGATAATGTTGTGTAATCTCTCAGCATTGGTCATCATATTCCTGTTTAAGAGGCTTGGTAATAGAAGCGGTCAGAAACCACAAAGGGAGGGTCGAAGCAGGTGATAGGTAGGAGGAGGGCCAATAAAACAAACCTGCAGAGGGGATTCAGTTTTCCTGTTTTAGAGTTTTAACAGAGAGGACATGAGGGAATACGGCTGGAAAGGTTTCAAGGATTTAATTCTGAGGAATCCTGCCGTCGTTGATCAGGTAAGTTTTTTTTCTTTGACCTTTTCTTTTGTTAATGGTGGGTAAAAAAAAATGAAATGGGAGACATTCTGCCTTTATTTTCACTTTAAATCCAATTTAAATCATGAGTAATTAATTTTTATCCTAAAGGACAATATGCTGGCTACAAATGTTCTGGTTCTTTGGATTGATTTTTACTGTTGGTCATTTTTTATTAGAACTAAGCTTCATAGTAATTATAATAACCAATTTGTTGCATTTTAAACTCTACATCAAGCAGGATCCACATGTAGATCCTGGGGATGAAAATGCTGAGCGTGGAAACTGGTCAAGCAAGAGGGATTACATCCTCTCCATGATCGGCTATGCTGTTGGACTGGGGAATATTTGGAGGTTTCCATACCTGGCCTACAAGAATGGCGGGGGTATATTGATATTATCTGATCCACTATCCCATCCAGTGGTGTTCCTTTTCAGTTTTGTTATTAATTCTTATCTGTTGCCATCAAACAGGAGCCTTTCTTATCCCGTACTTCACAATGCTAGTGGTGACTGGGATTCCTCTGTTCTACCTTGAAAGCGCCTTTGGTCAGTTCTGCAGCCAGGGTCCGATCAATGTTTGGAGAGCGGTGCCGATCCTGCAGGGTGAGACTTTAAAAAAAGAATGTCATTTATGTCAGTGAGATGATAGACAGCTGTGGTTTTGGTGGTTAATGGTCAACCGTGTAACTCTGAATGATTGCTATCTGCTATTTAATGAGACTTGCTGTTAATGAACAATCCTCTTAGCAAAAATTAACTGGAGTTCAGCCGCTGATTGCTTCCTACCTTCTTTAAAGACATATGCAGTTAAATCTTGAGCTGAAGAAAAAGGAAAGGTAATAATACTAGAGCTATAAAACAGAAGTATTCTGTTTGGTACCAAGCAGTTAAAGTCAGATTCAATCGTCTAACAAAAAAATAAATCTTGATTGGTTGCAAAGTTCTTCAGCCTCCCTGGTTTGAAGCTGAGCGTACGCTTGTTCTTCTTTGTGGAGTCTGTATGTTCTCACCATGCATGAGATCCCCAAAGATAGTTGGGTATTAACACCAGATAGCCTTATGGCTAATAGACCTTTCAGTGAATGAGGGAGACACAATGGACTTTAAAGCTTTTTCCTAACTAAATTTGATTGCAGGTGTGTTCGCATTTCTGGTCTCAGACTGGTTTTAATTTCATTAAGAACAGAATGCATTGGTATTTAATATGTACTGTAATCTAGGTCTTAAATCGATAAGCTCTATGCTTCCTCTGTGGTTGTTGGTATGTGTAAAATATGCAATTACAGGCATTAGTGGTATGTTTATATCTTCTTGGTTGTGCAGAGGTTTGCATTCTTTTTATGTTTATTTACTAATTGCATTGTTGCAACAAAAGGCTAAAAAAAAAAGTAAAATAATGAAAGATTGGCTCGAACAGTTATACCCAAGCAGTTCCACATATTGTCTCATTGCAAACACAAAATATATTGTAGGTATTTTAGGTCTTTTGTGCTTAACGCTCATGCAGAACAATAGAGATTAGACTTTGTTCCCTACTCCAGAGGAAAACCTGTCCCAAGGAGCAGAGAGATTTTGGATCTGTAAAAGATAGATTTCTAAAACTCAAACTGAAAGAGACAAATCTGAAAAATAAGACGTAAAAATGATTAAATCTGTTAAACAATTAAAATGTATAGAAATGAAAAATGGAAAAAAAGGATGAAACAATTGTTGGAAAAATTCTATCTGAGCAAATAGAAACATCACTCTCAACACAAAAGTTTCATTTCTGGATTGCAATTGTTTCAAATTTCAATTTGCAAAATTAGAAAATTTTTAAGTTCTATTTACAAAATTTGTTTGTCAAGTTTCATGTCACAAAAGAATAGCATTCAAAAAAGTGTTCTGTGCTTGCAACAATAATAGAAAAAGATTTACACCATAAATTGGCGTGTTCAGTTTAAAAAAAAACAGAGATTGGTTTCAGCTACACACGTTTAGGCATATAGACTAAGCCAAAAAAAAATCTACCGGTATATGTTCTTATTTTGAAATCTGGAGTCAATCGGCTACACTGGATTTTATTCATCTGAAAAAAAGAAAAAAAAAAAAACTCCTAAAGCATTTTGCAATCACACTTTCATATTTAACTACTGAAAAAAAAAAATTGTTTTGATTTTTCTTCCACATTGCAATATCCAAAATCGTTGTTCTTAACTTAAGGAAAATATAATATACAATCTTGATAATGAAACTATTGAAATCGCTCTTTTTGTAAGTTGGTTTAGGTTTTGAAGCCCCTTAAAACGCCTTGAGGGGCCACGGAGGAATGGAGGCGATTGACAGAAGAGTAGAAATGTGACGAAGTGATGGTTTGGTTGATGGAAGTCTATTGAAGAGTTTGGCACAGCGGCTTGGCGGTTCCACTCCAACTTTTCGCATAGTTCAGATAAAACTGGGGGAGAAAGGAGTGTGGCATTAGAGAGAAGAATCTCCTTTAGTTCGCCAACCGCACTCACCCTCTTCCAAGGTGGGCTGAGGGTGGCAATGGTGTCCAGAGCATTGTTTAGGTTAAAAAATAAGTTTGTCAGGGTGTCCAAGCCGGGCTCTGCTGGGTCCATAATGGCTGGTTCCTACGGTCAGCAGGCATGGACTGGTAATCGGGCGTACCGGGCATTTGCCCGGTGGGCTGACAGGCTGTTTGGGCCGGCAGACCAGACATGTATATTAATAATATGCATTATTATTATTATTATTATTATTATTATTATTATTATTATTATTATTATTATTATTATATAACGGCTTTGTTATATTTGCATAATGCATGAAGAAAAATAAAATCAGCAGCGCAAGAGTCTGTTCTGATCATCCGGCCCTTACCACAGGCTCCTGCAGCCCATTGGTTATTATTCCTGACAGTCTAAAGGCATAGGCCAATCAGAAAGTAGAGAAACAACTTCACTCTCCATTGGAACTTTGTGCAGCGATGTTCACAGTAGTAATGGGAGGCACAGAGAAACTGCGCGAAAAAAAAAAAATGAGTTCAATATGGGGTTCCGTTAGTGCCAAAAATATGTTTATGTGTCTTCTGGTGTGTCCATGTATTGTGCTTATGTAATGGAAGTTGTATATGTACAATATGTACGCTACATATACAGCTTCCATTACATAAGCACGATACATGCACACCTTACATAGACACATGGACACACCAGAAGTCACATAAACATATTTTTGGCACTAACGGAACCCCATACTTCAAACGGACGCTGCGAAATGTGTCAAACTGACTGACATGTTCCCAACAGCAGGCCCTTCATCTGCTCCGGTGTCTGATGTTAAATATAATGGTGGTGGTGGTTGCAGACATCCCAAATCTCCCGGAAGTTCCGGGAGTCTCCCTGATATCGATAGTTGTTCACGGATGCCCGCGAGTCGGATAAATTATCCTGGATTTTAGACTATGGGAGTTGGAGTTTTTTAATGCCAGTGAGAGCGAACAGGCAATACAATAATTCATGCATCATGTGCGGATTAGAACTACTGTGATTGCTGGTGAAACCTGTGCAGCGTATCTGTCCAAAGCGATGCTCTGTTCAACTAGTGATCCAGGCGACTGGTTGATCAGAGAGCTGATTGGATCAGTCAGAAAAATAAGCCAATAAGTTTCAGTTTACTTTTTTACAGAAATAGATCACTTTGCCCGTCCTGAACCTTGTCTTTTACAAAACTTTTTGAATCACCGCCCACAACAAAGCACAAAAAATCGAGTTATTCACCACTAAAAATGCAACCAACAGGAGGTGGCTCACATATTGTGAGAAACGTCATGCTTTATTTTGTTTTGTATGTATTGCATTTGGAAAGACTTCTGATGGAAGCTCATTTATTACTGGGATGTCTGATTGGAGGCATGTGCACCAGCGCACAGAGGAGCATGAGAAGCGTAGAGTAATTTGTGTGGTTGTCTGTGAATTTTCTCTCTCTCTCTCTCACCCTGATCTAAGAATTTTTGCTGTGGTGGAGTTTACATTTTACAGTTTTAATAAATTAAGTTTTTCGAAGTATTTTAAGTGTCCACTCTCACTAATTTCCATGAAACTGGCCTCAAAGTATTGCACAGTTGGTATACACATTCAGTACACCAAAAAAAAAATGTGGTGGGTCAGTCTAGTCCAAAATGCCAGGGCGGTCAGGGTTTGGTTGAGGTTTTGAGGACCCAAATGCAGAAGTGAGGAGGCAGAGTTCTTGTAGATTTAATTAATTAACTGAGAGAAAAATCCTAAAACCAAAGTACACAATACATGGAATGGAACCAAAAAACAGACAACTTCATGGGAAAACTCATGTGGGGAGCCAGGGAAAGACGAGGAACCAGCCCTGAAGAACTGCACAGAGTATACACTCACCGGCCACTTTATTAGGTACACCTGTCCAACTGCTCGTTAACACTTAATTTCTAGACATGGTCAAGACAATCTCCTGCAGTTCAAACCGAGCATCAGTATGGGGAAGAAAGGTGATTTGAGTGACTTTGAACGTGGCATGATTGTTGGTGCCAGAAGGGCTGGTCTGAGTATTTCAGAAACTGCTGATCTACTGGGATTTTCACGCACAACCATCTCTAGGGTTTACAGGGAATGGTCCAAAAAAGAAAAAACATCCAGTGAGCGGCAGTTCTGTGGGCGGAAATGCCTTGTTGATGCCAGAGGTCAGAGGAGAATGGCCAGCCTGGTTCCAGCTGATAGAAGGGCAACAGTGACTCAAATAACCACCCGTTACAACCAAGGTGGGCAGAAGAGCATCTCTGAACGCACAGTACGTCGAACTTTGAGGCAGATGGGCTACAGCAGCAGAAGACCACACCGGGTGCCACTCCTTTCAGCTAACAACAGGAAACTGAGGCTACAATTTGCACAAGCTCATAGAAATTGGACAATAGAAGATTGGAAAAACTGGTCTGATGAGTCTCGATTTCTGCTGCGACATTCGGATGGTAGGGTCAGAATTTGGCGTCTACAACATGAAAGCATGGATCCATCCTGCCTTGTATCAACGGTTCAGGCTGGTGGTGGTGGTGTCATGGTGTGGGGAATATTTTCTTGGCACTCTTTGGGCCCCTTGGTACCAATTGAGCATCGTTGCAACGCCACAGACTACCTGAGTATTGTTGCTGACCATGTCCATCCCTTTATGACCACAATGTACCCAACTTCTGATGGCTACTTTCAGCAGGATAATGCGCCATGTCATAAAGCTGGAATCATCTCAGACTGGTTTCTTGAACATGACAATGAGTTCACTGTACTCAAATGGCCTCCACAGTCACCAGATCTCAATCCAATAGAGCATCTTTGGGATGTGGTGGAACGGGAGATTCGCATCATGGATGTGCAGCCGACAAATCTGCGGCAACTGTGTGATGCCATCATGTCAATATGGACCAAACTCCCTGAGGAATGCTTCCAGCACCTTGTTGAATCTATGCTAGAAGAATTGAGGCAGTTCTGAAGGCAAAAGGGGGTCCAACCCGTTACTAGCATGGGGTACCTAATAAAGTGGCCGGTGGGTGTATATGGGACCCCTGAACAAAGACAGGACTAATGAGCTGATTGGGAGCAGGTGTGAACAGAGGGTTCTGGAAGGAGTTAGGGGAAAGAAGAACAACACAAGAGGACAACAGAGGGCCACCAATACATACCTAAGAACTCAAATATATCCAGAAAACACCACAAAATAGGAATTAAACCAACAAAACCAGAAGACAACAAAAAACATGGATCAAAGTGAAACTGAAAACTCAAAAGAAAACTTAAACAGAACCAAGACAGTGAAACTTTTCTAATCCTTTATATTCTTGCCTCTCTTTCCAGGTGTTGGCATAGGGATGGTGATAGTGACCCTCATAGTCTCCATTTACTACAATGTCATCATTGCCTACAGCCTGTACTACATGTTTGCCTCCATGCAGTCGGCTCTTCCCTGGTCCAGCTGCCCCAACAGGACGGACAACACCTGCAGTGACACACCTATAGGTACTTATCTGCTTCCTGCTAAAAGGTTTTAAGCCTTTTGGAAAGATAATCAGATATCTAATGGTTGCATCGGGACAAATTAATTGATACAATCGAAGGAAATTTCATTCATTGATTGGTTGTTGGGTTTTTGTTTAGTACATTGTAACATTAGTGGTGTTTTGGTGGCCAACTGGACCCAAGAAAACAACACTTGTGATTCATCCAACATAATCACAACGGTGGTCCAGAGCCCAAGCGAATACTACTGGGAGTAAGAACAGCATTTCCAATGAGCAAGCTAAACAATATGTAGACCTAAATGCATGCTAAGTATGTCTTCTTGTGTTTAGCAATGTGGCTCTGCAGAGATCCAGCGGCATGGATGAAACAGGACCGGTGGTTTGGCATCTTGCTCTCTGTCTGCTGTTAAGCTCCATCCTTGTAGCTGCAGCTCTGATCAAAGGCATCAAGTCATCAGGAAAAGTATGTCAACTCACTCCTCATGTCTAAAGCTTATGGATAAGGTTGTCCATCATTGCAGGAGTTAAAATTAAAATGTAATGTATGCTAAAAAAAAAAAAAGACAAATCCGTTTCATATTTTTATAAATCTGATTTAGAAAATCATCAATATGCTCATAAGCACATAATTTTCCTCTACCTCAGCATTCATATGGAGTAAATTTTGTTTCACTATTGTTGCACACATAGAACATGATTTGTAGATAGAAAAAAAAAACATTTTGTTAATTAGAATAAAAAGATGCATTCAAGGAATGAAACTTTACAAAATAACTTTGCTGTTTTTAGTATAATTATTATTTTTTTTTTTACAGATTTTATACTTTAAATTTAAAGAATTTAAATTTAAAGATTTTCATTCGTTTGAAATTGTCTTTCACAGATCACATTCTCCTCACTTCACATCCAAAACCAACGCTCATTCTAGACGTGCAAATTGACCAATAAAATACTGCAGACCAATAGAAATGAGTTTGCTTCTCATTCCAGTTGAAAGCCTGCCACCACAAGTGAAGAGAAATTGATCAATAAAATGCTATTTAAAAAGAATATGATTCGTAAAACCAAATCTGAAAAATATAGATTTGAAATAAATATTGAATGTAAAATTTGTGAAGCAAAATCNGATAAACAGAATGTGAAAAACAAAAATATGAAAATTTATTTAAAACAAATACTGTTCTTTGCTTGAAACAATAATGGGATAAAATTCACTCCATACCACTCCAAAATTTCAAGCCAACAGTGTTATTGGAATCCAGGACAAGACCTTTATTACCTTTGTAACATTAAGACAAAATTTATATTTTGATGGCAAAAATTTATATCAGTGTTATAACAAGAAATACCAACTTTAGAAATATATTGAGAAAAATAACAAATTCAAGAAAAACACTCTGAGAGTGAAAGAAACACATTTTGTTTGTACAACATAAACTTAGAGGTATTAATGCTGATACTGGTTCTTACATTTTTTTGTTTATAAACCTAAATATAATTATTAACTGCTCTTATTAACTTTTAAATTTTTCAATTAGCTTTTTACCTTTTTTCTTGACTATAATTTTTTTTCCAACTTAATTTATAGTAGGTAATATATCATTCAAGGGCTAATGGTTAAAGTGGGCTAAATGGTTAATCTTGTATTTTAACCAAAGAAAGACAAATTACTGCAGTTTGGCATTTAAAATCAGCCCCTAGCAGGTTATGAGCATTTAAATTAACCCAATGAAGAGCTGTAAAGGGAATTATTACTGTTCAAAACCCCAGAAAGGATTTTTGTTAATGAACCAGACAAATCAAACTCTATTTTCTTTGTTATAAATAACTTCAAAACATGGTACAACAGTATAAATATATGAAAGAAGGTAAATTCAGCAGTAAATTTACTTTATTTCACTTTATAAGGCCTAAAATATTAACTTTATAAGAAATACAAATAGCAAAATGGAAAATAGTAATCCTTTAATATTATAAAATACATTAAAATGAAATAAGAAACATATCATTGTGTAATTCATGGCACTATTAAAACTTTTATTTAAGATTACTTGGGCTGTACTCACTACTTAACTAATTTTCTTTCTGTGAAGGTTGTATATTTCACAGCTACGTTTCCTTATGTGGTGATTTTGATCCTGCTGATCAGAGGTGTGACACTAGAGGGCGCCAAAGATGGGATAGAGTTCTACATTGGCAGCCAGTCCAATCTCTCAAAGCTGTCTGATGCTCAGGTAAGGGTCCGAAAGGTTATTGTTTTCATGGGGGGCACAGAAAAGCATTAAGCAAAAGAAATGGGCAAGGGATTCAAAAACATTAAGAAATCTGCATGAAGTGAAATTTCCATTCAGTTAGGTTTAATTAAAATTATGTCTACCCACTAAAAATATTTATTTTTGGCTTGAAAATGTTAATTTGGATTATCGTTTAAACAAAATAAAAATCCCTAAGCATAGCAAAAAAGCAACTCAGCTATATAAATATCTAAAAGATCAAATAAAGCTATTATTTTTTTAATATACATTTATAATTTAAGAATTTAACATATTTATAACTTTATTAAAGTTAAAATTAAAGTTTTCTTTAAATACTTTAAATACTGATAAATTCAGCTGTAAAAGTGTATTTTTTTCATTGTTTTGAAAAAAAACTTTTAGCAGATGAAAACTGGGATCCTATCTCAATAAAACAGAAGCTATCACCTTATTGTCTTTAAATAATTAGTTAAACAGAATTTTTTATAGAAATAAAAGCAGTAACCATATCAGTTCATATCATCATTATGACAATTTCTTTTCGTATTATGTCTTCAGTACTGGGGCCAAAACAGGGGCCCGGACATGATCCACAGGGGCAGTGGCCCCCGTTGGCCCCAGTCTAGAACCGCCCATGTTACCATGCAACACTAGTTCTCTCGTTTTGGACTGCGGTGTGTCTGTGTGTGTGTGTGTGTGTTATAGGTGTGGAAAGACGCTGCAACCCAAACCTTCTACTCCCTCTCTATCGGCTGGGGAGGACTCATGACTCTGGCCTCCTATAACAACTTCCACAACAATGTGTTCAAAGACTCCTTTGTTGTGACACTAACTAATGCTGGTAGGGGCTCAGCTTACTTCTTTATTTGTCAAAAAAAAAAAAAATAACTTTTCAGAATTTGTTTTTCTGTCTTTAAAGGGACCAGTGTGTTTGCTGGCTTTGCAATATTCTCCATACTGGGTCATATGGCTCACGTCTACAAAATACCAGTGGAGGAACTGGTGAAGGAAGGTCAGGCATTTGAAGTGCTTTGCCAACCCTGATGACTGGATTACTATTAAACTATGGAGTGAATTTTGTTCCCTTATTGTTTTAAGTAAAGAAATTTAATGCATGATCCAGAAATGAAACTTTCATTAATCCAAAATTATTAATCCATAAAAGGTTATGAGAATACTTTTGCCTTTTTATATTTTATTTTAAAATGTTTATGGATTTATTTCCGTTGATATATTTATTTCAATTTTACTTTTTTCAAGTTTAGTTTTTTTAAATTTGCCTTTTTTTCCTGACTTTTTCCCAAATTTCTTCTAGATAACTCCAGTAAAGATAATGTGATCTGTAAAATCCTACTAGGAAAAAACACAATTCATAAAACCTAATCTGAAAGACAAAAAATAGAAAAAAAAATAATCAAATTTCAAACATGAAATTGGAGAAACAAAAGGGAAATAAAAATAAAAGGAAGGATTGATTATGAAGAAACTTTTTGAAATAATAAAATCCAAGCAAAAAGTTAATATTAAAATAATTTTTTAATCAAGCAGTTTTTTTAAGTTTTCTTACTGGATTGCATCTTTATTTTTATTTCCAGTGAAAAAACATTTTCTTTGCTTGCAGCAATAATGGCACCAAATTGCCCCATAATGAACCAACAGCCCCGATGTCATTTTGTTTTGCTGCAGGATTTGGTCTGGCCTTTATTGCATATCCACAAGCTCTCTCAAAGATTCCCGTTTCCCAACTCTGGTCCATTTTGTTCTTCTTCATGCTTCTGACTGTTGGTCTGGACTCTCAGTTTGCAGGAATAGGTAAGATACCTCATACTAGATTTCCGGAACCTTACCTCCTTCCAAGCTCGGACTGGGAACGATTTCCCATAATTTTCCATCATTTCCACTTATGGAAAAAAAAGTCTAATGATCTCTTAGTCCATTAATCTAAAGAAAAGCATTTTTTACCCAGAGACGGCCATCCTAAACTGCCAGATTGGGAAACATCCCAACCTGGCAACAATGCAAGTAAGATGGGAAACATTAGCCTTTAGATTCAAAACCCCATCATGCACCGCAACATATTTTTGCAAAATATTCGAACATAAATATAAGACGAACATCGTAGTTTGATTTAAAGAAAGCATTTTAGTTTTACTATTATTTAGTTTGTTACAAGGATTTTACAGTTTGAAGAAATAGAAAATTACACCATAAGCCAACCATCACAAGGATGTGCATAAAGAGGAAGTGCTATATATACTGCATGCATCATTTAGGGAGTTAACATTGGATTACTTCTTGAGCTCCTTGAGTTATTTACCGTCGCAGGTAGGAGCTTCAGCTGGAGAGTAAGTGTTGGGGTCGGTATGATTTAAGGAGGGCCCTGAAATTAGGACCGGCCCACTGGGCAAATGTACGGTGTCACAGATTACCAGTCCGAGCCTGCCTGCTTCCCTGTTACCGTATTTTCACGACCATAAGGCGCACCGGACTAAAAGGCGCACTCTCAGTTATGTGTCCCATTTCTGTATTTAACACACACATAAGGCGCACCGGACTATAGGGCGCGTTTTTTATATA